TGGCGCTCACTACTTCCGTCATGCATGTTCACTGAATCCAATGGGCAGACAGTTTGGTGTGTTCACCAATATGAAATTACATTCGCATCAACATCTTGAAAGGTGGCATAATACAACGCATTAAACATACTTTTTGGTAACCAATCGAGCATTATTTGAAGTGTAAACAACATGCAATTGTATTCAATGTTACAGCGTTGTCGGTTTTAATAATATTGATGATAATGTTTTTGATCTAGGGTTTGGGTTTCTGATTTAGGCTAATTTTGGTGTGTGTTTTTTGATGTGGTGGTCACCGAAGAAGGTGATGATAGATCAAGGGCCCTCCTGCTGTCGTTTCAGGGAGTCATAGGGATTCCCCTCAGCTCAGTCTTTTTGGTTCTTGAGAATGGTCACCACCTCTCTCAGGACCAGAATGATTATCCCTGCCGGATGGGTCTACATCCATTGTACCAGCGTAGAGTAGGAAGTAGTGAGTGGTGGCTAGAGATGGGTACGATGGTGTGTTTTTATATGTTCTTATTTTATTATGAAATGCTTTATATACTTGTATCAAATTAAAATTGTACAATTAAAAATATATTAAATGAAAAATGAACAACATCTAAAATGCCCTCAGAGTTAAGGTAAAAGGATATAATTTATAACGATTTTTCAAGTTGGAGGACCCTCTTTGTAAACGAGATGAAACCAAGGGACGAAATTTGTAATTTTACTCTTTTTTCAATATTAAAAATTACATTAACACTTTTTATTTGTAATTTCTTAGGGGTGGGGATATATGCACCCCCTCTTAATAAAATACAACCTCATTCTTTTTTGGGTCAAAGTCAACTAATTATAATTATTACATTTTTTTTCCAAAAATATATGTTTATAACTTTTTTTTAATATTGTTTGCAAATTTTATTTTTCTAAATTTATTTTTTATAATAAAATTTTTTTATTAATTTTTTTCAAAAATTTTGTCTTATAAATTTATGTTTTATTCAATATTGTTTTTTAATTATATTAATAATGATAAGTTAGATAAATTAATCAAAATATAGAAACAATGAATATAAATTAAAGAATAAATAAAAGGTAAAGAAAGAGGTGTATTTGGAGAATTAGTTTTTATTTTGAGGTTATACTTGTAAAATATAAGTTTCACCTCTCTGTTCCACTTAAAATTCCTGCCAAACATGGAACAGTAATCTCTATTCTGTTATGTTATATTGTATCTAGTGTACCTACCGCACCCTAAGGTAGCGTTTGGTGTGCAGATACGATTGGACGAGATAGGAATGGACAGAACAAATGTCTATATGGTGTTTGATACGACTATGACTGGACAAGACATAACTAGACAAGTTACCTTCAAAAGTTATTTGATAATTTTATACATCATACAATAGTTACAATTTTAGCGACCCATTTATACCGAAATTAAAATCCCATATAAAAAAGATTTTCCTAACTCTTTTCTTGTAACCTAAATTACACTTTGTAAAATTCTAAACAAAATGTATAAAAGACCCAACATATCTAATTACAACAAGATTAGAGGGTTTGTACATGGAGAACAGGTAGGGTATTTTTGGTCGGGACGAAGACTAATTTCCATGTTACCGGTTACATAATGAAAATCTCGGATTAGGAGCGATATAAATCTGGCACGAGACCGGTTTTTGACCACCTCTAATTCCAACTGTTTTAAGCTTTTGGGGATAACAACCCAACAAGAGGTGACCAAAAATCGGTCCTGGTCCAAAATAGTGATCTCATGACCAGTTCCGGTCTCGTCCCAAATACGAAGGCCTGGTTAAGGTCTATGAGGCCCAACTATGAGAACTAGGCTCAAATCGGTCCCACTTATTTTTTTTAAATATAAAAAATATTTTTTTTGAAGAATTTGGTGGATCAAATACACTAACAAATACATTTTTACTATAATTGGCTCAATCAAATACACTAAATAGGTTTTTGTTACAAAAAAATTGGTTGATCAAATATAATTTATAATATTTAATTGGGTTAATTGAATACACAAAAAAAAAATTCGTTTTTAACATAATACACTTAAAAACACATTTGATTTTCAATCAAATGCGTTTAAAATTAAATATTAAAAACACATTTAAAAATAATTTTATAAATTAATTTTAAATAAAAAATTGGGCTAGTCCCGGGCCGGGCCCACCCTTGTTTTCGGTGGAATATTGTAACCGGTTCGGGCTGGACCGGTTCCAAGTTGGTCTTGGTCCCGATCCTTCATGGTACCCATTTGGCCATCTCTAAGCCCAACAAGGTAGATAATTGTCAATAGGAGGACTGAAGAAAAGATAGCCCGATGATACTAACAAAATCTAATGAATAAAAATCTAAGGGACACATAATTATCGACAACGACGCATCGACATAAAAAATCTCCAATGATAATAACAAAATTAAAGGGATAAAAATAAATATACACAAAAAATTATGGATAAATATTCATTTATATTCATTTATTCTTTTTTATTATATGCTAATTAATTTTTATTCTCATTTATTCTACTTTTTTTTAAGGGTGTCCGGGCCAAAGCCCGACTAATCCCCGGCAAGTTTGGAGGCTAAACATGGCCTCACTTAAATATCGCCAACACTTCCCTCCCAAGGCTCGAACTCGGGTTCATGACTATGTCATGCCCAAGCCTTTACCACTAGGCTGGAAGGTCTTTGACCATTCTACCTTTTATTATATGTTAATTAATTTGGAAGTGCAAAAGTATTCTCGCATTTTCGTAAAATATGAGTGTTCTTGTTTGAACCTTTCGTGTATGTACATGTGTGTGTGTGTGTATATATATATATATATATATATATATCTATCTATCCTTGAAAGACAACAAAATTCATTGTAAAATAAAACAAAAACAATACAATTGATAAAAGTTTTCCGCAAGCTGTAGAAAAAACCTAACAAACCAAAAAACACGTAACAAAAACTTAAATACAAACAATACATGAAAACATGAAAGCTTGCTGGAAACTCACCTATAAGTACAACCATATTATAAATTAGTTAGAAAAGAAAAACATAAAACTAAAACTAAAACGCATAATAGAGTAACTGAAACCTTAATCTATACTATATTATAAAGTATTTAATAAAAAAAATTAAAAACCATTTTTTATCCATTGTTTATTGCGACGTATTATTTAAAATTAAGAATTACACGTAAATTGTGCATAAGTACAACTTATTAAATCTTCATTTTTGAATTCGTGTAACCAATTGCAGATAAACACAATCATATACAGGACAAACATCACATTTTAAATATAAAAAAATTAAAATATGATTAGGATAATCGTTGAGTTCTAATATAAATTTTTAATTCTTATCTTTATAAAAAATTATATTGTTAAACTAAAAATAAATTTGATTCGTTATTAAATTAATAGAATACTTATAAATTATTATATTATTAAACCAAAAATAAATTGATTCATTATTAGATCTAAATTAAATAAAAAAATTGAATAAAAGAAATTACATAAAAAACGAGAACTTTTAAATAGTTAATTAGATTTTAATATCAATATATATTTTTAAAATTTTAATTACAATATCTTTAAATTTATATTTTATTCAAAAAATAAACATTATTATTTTTCTCAAAACTACATAAAACTGTATTATATCAATAGAAGAATAACAAGAAACAATAAAATTGAAATGTATCTTGTTGCATTGTGTGAATACCTTTTTAATTTTAATAAAATAAAGAACAAAATCTGTTAAAAATATAAATCACATGAAACAAAAACCATATATATTTTAGGCTTAAATTTATTTATCTATATTGTATTATAAAACATTTGACAAAAACTCTTAAAAACCATTTTTATGCACGAAGTACTGTTTATTAATGCATATTACTTAAAATTCAAGATTACAAGTAAATTGTGCGTAAGTACAACTTATTAAAGCTTTATGTTTGAATTTGTGTAACTAACTGTGGATGAACATAATTAAATACTTGATAAACATATTATTTTAAACTAGAAGGATACTCGTGCAAAGCATCGAGACACATTTCCATTTCAATGTTTCGTTTTATTTTTTTTATGTGGTTTTAAGAAAACGATAATGTTTTTATATTTGAATAAGATATAAATTTGAAGTAACTTAATTTAGGTTTAATAATATTTTTTATAAAGATAATAATTAAGTATTCTGTTAGAACTTAATAATTATCCTAATTATATTTTAGATTTTTTATATTTTAAAATGAGATGTTTATTCTCTATTTGATTATGTTTATCTGCAGTTAGTTACACGAATTCAAACATATAGCTTTAATAAGTTGTACTTATGCATAATTTACTTGTAATCCTGAATTTTAAGTAATATGCATTAATAAACAGTACTTTATGCATAAAAAAGTTTTTTAAAAGTTTTTGTCAAATGCTTTATAATATAGTATAGATATAAAAAATCTTAAATATAATTAAGATAATCATTAAGTTATAACAAAATACTTACCGATTATATTTATAAAAAATTACATTATTAAACCTAAATTAAATTACTTCGTTACGTTAAATTAAATTATAATAAAAAACTTGAATTAAAGAAATTACAAAAACTATAACTTTTAAATAGTTAATTTGATACTAATATTGATATATTTTTTAAAACTTGTATGATATTTTTAAATTTATATTTTATTCAAAAATAAAAATATTATTGTTTTTTTAAAAATATATAAAACTATATTATATTAATATAGATAAAAAAATAAAACAAAATATTAAAATAAAGATGTATGTCGGTGTATTATAAAGTGTTGTTATAATGAATTAGTAACAAGGACAAGGAAGCAAAATTCCAGTTTTATACTATCGATGTTGGCAGAGACCCGCATACCAGCGATGTTGTCATGTGCTTACCACGCGCGCGCCATTCTTCCCACCGCGACCGCAAAGTCTTCGCGTCTTTTTTTAAGACGACTCAAACACTCAACACTACCACCCAAGCGGATTAACGTCGAACACTTGAACTGCAAACTTCATCCTCGTTCTTTCCGCTTATTCTCTTCAATGGGTTCCCTCTCTCTCTTCGACGAACCTCTTCACTATCCTTCTATCCGCCGTGACGAATCCCTTGTCGATACCTACCATGGTGTCCCTGTTCCTGATCCTTATCGATGGTACGATGTTATTACATCTCATTCTTCTTTTTAGTTATCTACTGATTGATTCTAAATCTGTTTCGAAAACGGAAAAAAAGATGCATGAGTTTGTTTATCTACGTATTGAAAGCAAAATTGATTTTATTTTAGGCTGTTTGAGTAATCGTTGCCCAAATTTATAGTTTTACTTGAAAATTGTGGAATTCATTTTGACTTGTAAGTCCGAGTGTAGCTCTTCTTTTCCAAATGGATTGTTACCTTGATTCGAGGAAAATAAACTTTGATACAGATATGGACGATGTCAAACCTATAGTGCATTTAAGAACACACTTGATGTGGATTTTGTTCGAACTTAACGCAAACCTTTTTCTATTTCTAGGACTTCCCGTGACTAGGTTTTCTAGATTTCAAGTACATTTTCAATGCTAAATCGATATGGATGTTGGACCATCATTCTTTTAGTTCTTAATTATTTTGAAGTTATTTGAAATTTCCATTTTGTTGTACTTGTTATAAAGTTTGAAGATTTATGATCAATATCTTCTTGGAAACTTTAAGAATGAATGTTAATTTCAAAGATGGTCAAAGAAGCATCTCCTTTTTTTAAGGATTGAAGAAGAGTGTATCAAGTCTGATTGTGGAATCTATATTTTGCTATCGGATGTTTATTTTCAGGCTTGAAGATCCAGATTCTGAAGAGGTGAAAGAATTTGTGAAAAAGCAGGTGGATTTGACTGAATCTGTGCTTAAGAAGTGTGAGACGAGGGAAAAACTTCATGATAAGCTTACCAAGTTCTATGACTATCCTAAGTATGGTGCTCCGTTTAGAGAAGCTGATAAATATTTTTACTTTCATAATTCTGGACTTCAACCACAGAAAGTCCTCTACATGCAGGTATGATATGATGATACTGTAGATTAGATATCTTGTGGAAGTTAACTTAGATACGGTGGTAAACTGATTGCTTATAGCTTCATTTGAGTAATACGTGATTAGCAAAATTGATCTAATGCATGTTTATTAGTAGTTTACTACGTTATAACAGGGAATAAAAATCCGACATTTCTATGGATAGGGTAGTTTCACTAGAAACTTATTTGTCAAGTAAGTTCTCTTGACCTTCTATCTTGTTGGTGTCAAAAAAGTCTAAATGCCGCTTTTAGTAAAATAAATTCACATGTTTAGTGATAGTCGATCCTTCTTTTTCATGGAAGAGATGCACTCTCCTTTTGGTCCAGTTTACATCTCTATTTTTTAACTGTAAGTTACCATGGGTTTCCAATTTTACCGTTAACCATACAAATGGGCGTGATTGGATTTTAGTATGGGTGAAACAGGATGATATACATATACTTGAAGGCCGTTATTACAAAGGTCACTCTTCCTCTCTTCTCAAACCATTTTTTCTTCGGTATGGAGGGAGTGATCTTTTCGTTTTTGAGCAAGTACAATTGACAAATTAGTACCTTGGGATTGTTTGTTGGTTTTGTAGGATAGTTTGGATGGAGAGGCAGAGGTTTTGCTTGATCCGAATGGACTAAGTGATGACGGAACAGTGGCATTGAGTACGTATGCTGTTAGTGAGGATGCTAAGTATTTGGCATATGCTCTTAGTTCAAGTGGAAGTGATTGGGTCACCGTCAAAGTAATGCGGATCGAGGACAAGAAAGTTGAGCCTGATACTTTGTCATGGGTGAGTAATGATTTAGGTACTTCTTTTATGGAGTCATTTTTGCAATGCATGGATGTGAATCTGTTTGTGAGATACTTGTGAGGAAGAATGTGTAGTCACTTTCTGTTTTTGTACTATTTTATCTATGCGAAACACAACATATCTTGGTATAAATTAAATTTTGGTTTTCATGACCAAAATTTATGATTGTCTCAAAAGTGTACTGCACCTTACTTTAGGACAGTCCCTTAAATTTGATACCTCATGTATGAGGTGCTGTTGATACCTTTAAACCTTCTATCTAAAGATAACAACAAACCTCCCCCCAAGTTAGTTACAGGTCACTTGTGCTTGATTGATTCATCTACTTTGTTACAGGTCAAATTTTCGGGTATTAGTTGGACAAATGATAGCAAAGGTTTCTTCTATAGCCGCTACCCAGCTCCGAAGTAAGTGCCAATTACATCTGCTAATGTTTCTAATCATATGCTTTGAATTCGAACTACATTAATTTTAGCTGTTATGTTTCTTTGTCTAAATAATTTCCTGGTTGGGGGTTGGGTCAATAACATTCTAGAGCTAATTTCATGTTGTCTTCTAACAAGTGTATATAATACTCAAGTTTAATAGCTACACTTTCTTAAATATAGTTACATGATAGCATCTATATTGGTGATTGATAGGGAAGGAGAAAATTTGGATGCTGGAACAGAGACAAACACGAATCTTGATCATCAGCTTTACTATCATTTCTTGGGTACAGATCAATCCGAGGATATTTTATGTTGGGAAAACCCTGATAATCCACAGTACACACTTGGAGCCTCTGTAACAGAGGATGGGAAGGTAACAGACTTAATATCCTTTCGTGAAGCTACTCATGGAGCAATAACTGGTTGTTTATTTTATTCTGCACTGAATTTAAGCAGTTTGCAACATATGGAGTGCATAACACTTTTCTTATTTTTAACTTTTTTGTTTCCACCTTCCTTTGTTGATTTATCTGCAAGTTTTTTAATGTCTTCAGCCAATTGAATCTCACTCAGGCAACTTCAATTGTGACGATTCTGACAAATTAACGTCACCGGGTGGGAATTAATTTACGTTTAGGCTTGAGCTTGTTTACTTCTATGCTCTTATAAGCCTGTTTACTTCTATGCTCTTATAAGCCTGTTTACTTCCTTGCTCTTATATCTTTAAGATCCTCGTTCATTATGTTAACTTTCATGGAGATCTGATATCAGTCATCACTGAAAAGGAACTAATCTCACTCTTGGTTTTTTAAGCAACTAAAGATCACATTAAATATAGTTTGTAGTTCAAATTCTTAACTACGACTAGAAATTAGTGGCTTCAATGAAGTTGCTATATCTGCCTAGACTCTAAATATGATGCTTTTCAAAAATTTGAACATGGGTTGCTTTGTGTAAATTCAAAATGACTTTGTAAGTTGTTTTACTTCAAAGCTAGTTGAAGTTTTGACCCGTAACTATAACCATTTTATTTGAAGTAGTCTTCCTGAGCATATGTTTGTATATTTGTTTCCCCTGTGCGTACAGGCTATACGGCAAGGACAAAGGTTATTAGCAGTTATGGAGATCATTGTTGAGTCGAGTATTTCACTTCACAAACATAATAATCATTAACAAATCTAATGTGTAGAGAATTAAGCCGATAGAACCATAATCGTACCATGTACCGTCCTTTGGGTGGAAATATTTGATAAAGGGTTTGTCATTCATCATTGGCCTGCAATATAGCTTGGTGTCAAAAACAATTGTATAAGTATCAATCTCCATGGTGAGGAGAGATTGGGGAGGCTGAAAATGGTCCTCATACATTGGAAAAGTAGTGATTTGATAGAGCAAACATTACGGTATTACAATGTTTTTTGAAGCATATAATATTTTATGTACGTCAAAACTTACACACTGTTCTCACATTTGTTGAGGCTTGAACCTTGACCTTCCCAGAAGTTAACGGTAACCCGGGTACCGTTGGGCCAATAACCCTTTGGTATATTACAATGTTATATGATGTCCTTTTTACTACTCCCTCAGTTCCAAATTAGGTGTACGCATACTTAGCTTATTGGGATGTTTCAATCTAGTGTCCATGTTGTCTAATTTGATGAAGTATCTCTTCACTTTTTTCCACCCTTACCTTTACAATGTGAGCATCAAGCATGACATCGTTTTTTTTTGGGGGTGCTTTTGACTATTTTTTAGTTTTCGTGCAAATTCATAATGATGACTTTAGCTCTAATGGAGGATATTTAGTGGTCAATCTCAAGTTTATTAGTGCTGTCAGATTGAATTGCTGATGAGTGTGTTACTAAGGTTATCATCATGGCTTTGTGGTCTCCTAGTAAATGCTGTCTTATTGCCCTTCTGGTGTGTATTCAGTGCCGTTGATGAATCTTTAAGTGGTCTCTACTGACCAGAGATTCTTGTTCTGATTAGTGGATGTGCCTTCTATAGTGGCATCATTCTCAATGTGATAAAGTTAATTTGTTTATGTATGCACAAAGGGAGAATTCTAGTTAGTCATCTTGGTTGGTGTTTGCAGTATATGGTAGAGTCAACTTATATATATATATATATATAGTATGCAATAAGGGAGATTCTTCTAATTATGAAAGGTCAAATATAATGTTCTAATCTGGGTTGGGATATGTAGGATTGTTGAGTCCTTTGTTCCAGCAATTAGAGGAATGGTGTGCATGTGTACTAACAAATTTCTTGTTTACTCAATTGCATACCGTGTCTTCCACTTGCAGTTAAGTAGAAACCCTTTGTCAGAAGAATCTTAGTGACGCATAATTGGAAGTCCTAAAATTTTGTTTGTATATAGGCTACATATGATTGATGATAAATGGATCCATATTGAAAATATAGTATCTCATTTGCCTGTTATACCAGGGTATTTTAGTAAAATTAGTCAAACATATTAGACTATGGTACAAGTGTCTAATACACTGGTACATGCTTTAGGTACTACAAATAAAGGGAGGTGGCGGTTAGAGGAAGGGGGGATCAGTTATGTGTGTGTAGGGCGAGAGCCTTGGGGGACATCAGGCAGTCTCGAAGTGCCTGGAAATTGATTGTAACCCTTCGATTGTTTGTAGTTGATACAAATCATTCTCCAATTCTGTTATGGATTTTGTTTGTATCATTGTCATTCTAACTGATTATGTTCAAATTTTGTGCAGTTTGTTCTTCTTTATATTAATGAAGGCTGTGATCCTGTCAACAAATTTTATTACTGTGATATCTCTACTCTGCCTGGTGGGATTCAAGGGTGTAAAGAAAAGAAATGCCTTCCTTTTATTAAGCTTATTGACAATTTTGAAGCAATGTATCAAGCTATTGCAAATGATGACACTGTTTTCACCTTTCTGACGAATAAAGATGCTCCAAAGTACAAGCTGGTTCGAGTAGATCTGAAGGAACCAAACGTATGGACTGAGGTCATTCCGCAAGCTGAAAGTGATGTGCTTGAATCAGCTGTTGCTGTCAATGGAAATCAAATCATAGTGAGTTATTTGAGTGACTGCAAACACGACTTGCAGTTGAGGGATTTACAAAGTGGTTCCCTTTTGCATCATTTGCCCATCAGCATCGGCAGTGTAGATGATGTTAGTGCACGCCGGAAAGATAGCTTACTTTTTATTGCCTTCACGAGCTTCCTCACTCCTGGTGTCATATACCAGTGCAATTTAGAAAGTGGGGTTCCAGATTTGAAGATATTTCGTGAAATTGTGGTTCCTGGATTTAATCAGACAGAGTTTCATGTCAGTCAGGTGAGCGTCTTCAAATCCTATAGTATTATAGTATCTTTGCAGCAAGAATATAAATATGATATACTTTAAAAAAAGAATATAGTTGTGCTTGATTTCAGTTTACTGTAGTCCTTCAAGTGAAAGAATATACTCTGTGTATGTATAAGTTTGTTTTAGACTTGAAAGAATGGAAAAATAGAGAGTCGTAAACATAGAGAGAGAAGGGGAAGAAGTTGTTATTTCTGAATGAAAAAGAAATAATACAGAGTCTCACTATTTATACAAGGAGAATGAAATAAACAGAAAGCCATGTAAACATCTAACTATCAGCTAACCGACTAACAAACTTCAACAGTTTGGGCCTTTCTATTTGTTTTCTGTGAATTTCACAAGGATGTATGTTTCAGATGCTGGGACATTCTCAGCAATCTGTACGGAAACAGGTGACTCTAAGTACCACAAAATAGGATATGGTGACCATTTCTCCATATCATGTATAAAGAATTCGTCTTTATTATCACGAGAAGTCTATGATTTGGTTAGATGGTCTCATATATGTGAAGCACTGAGAAATCTAAGAATTTTCTGAAAGGTTCCCTCCCCAGTCCTGGATGCATGGTGCACCATGGTCTTTTCTACTATGTGCGTATGAAGTTATATCAAGTAAATAGCATTGCAATAGAGGTGAAATAGCGATGCAATAGTGGATTGCGGTCATTAGAGGAATAGCGGTTCTAAAATAGCGGTGGTGTATAGCGGTGCCGCATTTTGCGGCGCTATTCACCACAATTTTGCTCCTAAATAGCTGTCCGTTAAACCGCAATTTTCCTGGGCTGTTTATTGTGTTTGGGGATTCAGGTTTTTCAGTATTTAGTGGGCTTTGGTTTAATATTCGTTGGGCTTCTTTTAGTTTTAGTTGGCCTAACATAAGGCTTAAAGCAACCGACTCTTTTAGACTTTTAGTTGACCTAATTTAAATCGTCCCTTTCATCCAAGGCTCTAAGCTTCAATTCTCATCACTCATCAGAGATCAGACTCCGTTTTTTCTTGATTTCTTTCAAGCTTCGATTGCACCAAGTCATTGGGATCCAGCCCACACGACTTCGACTAGCACCAGCTTCACTCTTCTTTTGTACCAGCCACCACCCTGGACTTCTACTTCGACTGGCACCAACTTCACTCTTATTTTTTATGGCCACCACCTTGAATGCTTTTGTGGTTTGATTTGTATTACTTGGTATGTACTGGCATACAATGTTATCAAGTTTTCTTGGATATAAAACTTGGTATTTTTTATGAACCTAAATTTTTTTACCGCTTTATCACTGCGATTTCCACAATCAACCATGTTAACTGTTTTGTTCAAGAACATAACCATCACATATTTGAGCACCTCAGAAGATATTGTTTAGGCATCATATGTTTGTATGCGTCCACAACCTTCTACAATTACGAGCGCCATCATTCATTTCATATAGTGCATATATTTAGGGATACAGTTACATTCATCTTCAGTAAAAACTCAAGGGTACTAAATAAGCCGTGTGTGTGAATGTCGGACCTTTTAAAATCTAACAGAATTCTCATCTTTGTGCATATCAGGTCTCTTTAGAAGTTGGAGTTTTGCTAATTCTGCTTGCTGTTTTACTGTTTTTTCCCTTGAGGAATTCATGTATTTGATTGCTATGATATTGCTTTATGCAACTGAACCGGGGATATACTGAATAAGTAGCATGCTGGCTTCTGTCTTTCTCTGCAAGAGCAGTGTCCCTCAATCCCAACTACAAAACGTCTTGATGCCTTTTCTTGATTAGTCTTTTCTTCTTTCAGGTGTTCGTTCCTAGTAAAGATGGTACTCGGATACCAATGTTCATCGTGGCCAGAAAGGATATAGTTCTGGATGGATCGCATCCATGCTTATTATATGGATATGGTGGATTTAATATTAGTCTAACACCATATTTTAGTGTCAGTCGTATTGTACTAATGAGGCACTTAGGTGTAGCCTTCTGCCTGGCTAACATTCGCGGTGGTGGAGAATATGGAGAAGAATGGCATAAAGACGGTTCTCTTGCAAAGAAGCAGAATTGCTTTGATGACTTCATTTCTAGTGCTGAATATCTTGTGTCTTCCGGTTACACCCAGCCAAGAAAGTTGGCAATCGAAGGCGGAAGCAATGGTGGGCTCCTAGTTGGGGCTTGCATTAATCAGGTACTTAATTGGATTGCATGCAAATGCTCAAATATCTAGAATTCTAGATGCATCTACTACTAATATATGAATATACAATTGAAGTTCTAGTTTTTTATGATCACAGAGGCCTGACCTCTTCGGTTGTGCACTTGCCCATGTTGGTGTCATGGACATGCTTAGGTTTCACAAGTTTACAATCGGTAAGACTGGTTGTGTGATTTCAGTTAATTATAGTTACACCTTCGTCATAATTTTATTATCTTGGGTTTGTTCCCCCTTGCTAGGTCATGCATGGACTTCCGACTATGGCTGTTCGGATAAGGAAGAAGAATTCCATTGGTTAATCAAGTGAGCAATATTATATCTGTTAACTAAGGGTCCGTTTACTAAATGCTTACCCGGTAAGCGCTTACTGGTTCACTTTACCTTACCGGATGAACATGGTAAGGACCGAGACTCTTACCCAGTAAGTGAGAGTGACGACTCTTAAATGGTTAGCGCTTACCGGATGAATTGTTGCATACGATGCCGTTTTAATGGATTCGAATCTTACCTGGTAAGGTAAGTGAGAGTGTTGACTCTTACCAGTAAGTGCAATGGCAAGCATTTGGGTAAACGGATCCTAAACCGTTAGTTGAGGATGAACTGCTTCCAGTTCCCAATCTCATGAGACAATAAAATTGTAAACACTAAAACATCAATACAACTTGTTTTTACCTGGACTCTTTGCTTTGGGGCCATGATGGCATGGGCAGACCCACTCTATTGGATACAGTGACACGGGTCACCGCTTTGTTCCTCCGTCGCAGTATAAAAATTATAGGGTCGTGAAAAGTGCCACTGTATCAATTTGTTGTGTGCCACCATATATATTTTGAAACTACAATGAAGACACAAGTTTCCCTTGGTAGAGTTGGTTTGCAAGGTTTTTCTTCCACCCAAGACCCGAGTTCGAATCCCATTAGTGTCATCTTCTTAGTTTTTAAATTCAGATTGATTATGTTTCTGAAAAAAAATTGCTATAAAAGACCTAAACGCAAGACCTCACATATCAAAAGCAATTGACTAACCAACAAACAGATGACGATTTTGCAAAAAGTATCCATATATTTGTTTCTTATAGTCAAATGATGCCGCCACTTGAAAAAATTTCTAGGTCCACCTCTGATGGTGCACTTGAGAATAAAGTCAACAATTCCTTGGAAGTTGGTTTTAGTTCTTCTATTTTTTCTTGTGTAGCCTATTGTTTTATATTTGCATGCCCATAACTTTATGTGGAATCAGTGGGACTCTTATCATTAAAGCTATTATTGATAAGGGTTCTTCTCATTCTATCACCTTCATTACATTTCCTTTCCACTTCAAGGTCATCGACAGTGCTTGATTTAAACAACTGAGTACTCACATTATCATCTGTGAATATGTTTGCTACAAGTTAAAAGGTTTTTTTTTTCTATCAGGTATTCGCCACTGCATAATGTCAGGAGACCATGGGAGTATTCTACTGATAATTCTCATCAGTATCCTCCCACCTTGTTGTTGACAGCCGATCATGATGACAGGGTTGTGCCCTTGCACACTTTGAAATTACTGGCGGTAGGTATTTCAATAATTAACCCAACTTGTAATTCCATTTTTTGTTTCCTATCCAATCCTTTTCACTTCTTGTTCATCTCTTCTTGACTCTCCAAACTTCATGTGTGTTCATTTGTGATATACCAACTGAATACTCTTTCCACTCCATAAACAACGGATAAATAATAGTGATTACATTTATTTGGATCAGAAGGAATGCATGATTCATTTATTAAACGTATGATAGTTTTGGGCAACAGAGTATATTGATAATTTCTGGTTATTTTTAGAGTTGCATGTTCTTTTTTATGTTGGCATATGGTTAATAGTTGTTTCTTTACACATTTTGTTAGACCATGCAATATGTGCTGTGCACAAGCTTGGAGAATAGTCCACAGACCAACCCAATTCTTGGCAGAATCGACTGCAAGGCTGGCCATGGATCTGGACGCCCCACAAAGAAAGTGGTACGATTTTAAGTTTCCAATTTTTATTACCGTCTTAGTACTGATATATATATATATATAGGGTTGGGTTGGGTTCAGGGGAAAACCACAAAAAAGTGGAAAATAGAGTGCACATCCTAATAACCATTCATTTGCACGGTCTGCAGATATGCATAAAAGTAATTGGAAATGTTTCCTGCTTTCTACGCATGTATGTATACCGGACAAATTATTTTTGTGCACATGTGCACACCGTACGGATGAATGGTTATTAGGGTGTTTCTCAAACTTTTATTTTTATGTGATTTTCCCTGAAGCCAACCATATATATAATATACGTAAAGAATGATACATATTTTACTTCTAGGGGCCGTTTGGTTTGATGAAATGTTTTTTTAGGGATTTGGATTTCATGTGGGGATTTGGAATTGGAAGGAATCAAAATTTTTGGTGTGTTCAGTTTGTATGATTTGGAATGGAATTGAATTCCTTTTTTTACAAATAATTTGTAAAAACAAATTATAAAAATAATGTAATTACCTTTCTATTAATTGATCATCACAAAACAAGTATTTTTAACATATTTTAAAACATCGTGACAAGCAAATTCTATGAAATCCCGTGAAATACCAAATCCCTACAAATCCAATCTAATCCCCCAAACGAAACGGGATCTTAGGGTCAAACGAATACTTTCTAGATTGAAACTTGAACTGGTTCGAATAGAAATTCAAACCCAGGTTTCTCTTTTCTAAATTTTTGGAAGAACTGCTACGAATTTTGAAGTCGTAAGTTGTTCGTGTGACCTCAAATGTTAAACAGTCACTGGGGGGGTTTGATGTACCCTCATGGTCTGATAATATATGACCTTCATCAATTCATTTTGCAGATTGACGAATGGGCAGATTCATATAGTTTCATGGCTAAGGTGGTTGGTGCAACCTGGATTGATTAATCGCCTTTGATCCATGAAAAAAGGTATTTCCAGCCACACTATCCACAATCGATCAAAACCTTCACTGTCTGACTTCACACTCTAGATCTTTGTCTCAATGGAGTTCTTGATCTTATTCATTTTAATTTTCTGGTTAGACCTATTCATTTTTTTCCTTCCGGAAATTGGTTAATGATTATTTGCATATAAAAGAACCAACTCGCAAAGACATATGGCTGATAGTCGATGTACCAAACCTAAACTGGTGTAGATGTGTCCTGGATACATTTTTTCCGGAAGGGTGACTAATCCCGGCAAATTGCGACCGCAAGACATCAGCCCTGAGAAACTCAGTGGTCACAATTGTTGTAGACGCCTAGAATTGAACACATGGCACGTGTCTTGGATACGTTTGTTGGCAACAGAACCCAGAAACTTAAGATCATCCGCTTAGGACAACAGCCATGGTTCCTCCAGTTGGCCCTTTTCCGGCAATTCATGCATGGATGATTGATTACCCATGACTCCTTGCATTTAGTTCTTTTGCTGTTTGTGTCCGGAATTCCTGAAATGAACCTGTTTCGTTTTTCGAACCTCAAGAGGTTCCTATAAGAGATGCGAGCAGAAAAGGTCGAGCGTTTGATGTCCCCTCGATGGTTTGATGAACACAATTGAATCAATATGGAATTGGAACAGAAATTGAACGGTTACAACAGATTTCCGGGCACTTCGAGACTGTCGAATGTTTCCCAATGTTTCTGCTCAAACAGACACCAAATTGATTGATACCCTTTTAACCTCCTGCTCCCTTTATTTATACTACCTAAAGCATGCACCAGTGCATTAGACACTTGTACCATAGTCTACTCTATTGACTTGTTTACTAAAATACCCTGGGTACAACACTATCCTTTGTACAATTTACATTTAAATAGGAATACGATGGAACTAAACTGGGAAGGTTACCCATGGAAAGTCAATCTAGAAAATCATTTCAAGAAAGAGGGTTGAGTTTCCACAAGGCCTTGATTTAAACCGGGGTGGGCTAAATACACCCCTACCTGGTAATTTCCTCTTCACACACATTAATATCAGAATTCGTTTTTTTTAATTCTCAATGCATGATTTGACATGATATTGACATTAAATGGGTGGATATAACAATCCCCTTTCAAAAAACTTGTAAATGCATCTATGCAAAAAGAATTATGAAATATGATCCAATAAATATAAGAAGGTTGGTAACTATTTCGTCTTCCATATAAGAAGAATTATGAAATATGATCAACTGAATATTATCAGAAGCATACATTTGCTGATCATAAGGTGGACTTGGAACAATGTCATGTGCCAAAAAATTGTAATTGGCATGTCAATTTGTATATTGTATAATAAGTAACTTAAATTGGTACAACTTTTTTCGGTTGGGACATGTTGGTTGTGGTTTTGTACCAACTTCAAGGTACATATATGAAAACTTGTTAATTTGTTCCAATTTTGAGTTTGCAAGTAATCATGTCATGTTTAAGAGTTTTAATTACAAGAAATAAAACTTGTAAATATTTAAATACTTAAATAAAAAAGTTAGTAAAACAAAACTCAAAAAACAATAATTATGCTTGGTAGACTCCTACCAATTATGTACCAAGTTTGCATGTTTGATAGGATATTGTCAAACCAATTATATTTTATACTGATTTAATTGGTATAATTGGTACACATGTTTTTCTAATTTATTTTGTTACATAATTGTCACATGGTAGAGTTTGATTTCTCTCTCCACATCTTGTGTTCCAAAGTGCCAAGTGGAGTTATTAAATATTGGCAACTTGCTTAGGGTGAATAATATACCATATGTGGTTGGTATGTGTTTTGTTCAGTTGTAAGCCTCGAGTCATTATGCTTTCAAATGATGGAAAGGTTGCCAATTTGATCTGGTTTCATCTTTATTAATTCCAGATTCCAGTAGTGGTTTCTAAGCTTACCAAGGAGCTATTTGGTTGTTTTTCATAAGTCTTATATGGATAAAACTATTTATGTAGATTAATCTATCTGTATAAATTGAAAAAGTTTTTGTTTGGAACTGATTTTTCATAGATAGGAGAATTTTTTCTATATAGTTTTAGGTTTGAAACAAACCTTTTCTACATAAAGTTTCTTGAAAGTTTACCGAATAAACCACTTTCTATCTCATTAAACTACTATTAAATTGTCATATAAAGCTGACCAATTAAGTTATGAATTCCATTGAGCTAAGATTCTATTCCTATTAAACAAAAAGTTATCCAATTAAAGTGTAAGTAAAAAAGGGAAGTAATAAAATATGAGTGACAAAAGTCTTGTTACCATTTTGTTTATTACAAATATAGATAAAGGAAAGAAAATAATAATACACTCATATATAAATAAGGTAAGAAAAAGAATTGTGATGTGACCTTGAGATAAGGTCATAAACAGTTCTAATGATACAATATTACCATATGACTAACTTTTCCAAGCAGTGCTTATATAGCACCACAAGGAATAAATTGCACAAACTTACCAAAATAAATTTAATCATGCTAAATGATGTCTAAACTCGACGATCTTCAACTCCTGTTGTTTTAAAGAGGTCGTGTGTGGCGGCCGCTCGCCTGCCCACACAATCGTGCATTCTTTGGGATAGGGAATTCGTCTCTGATGGACCCTGAGTTGGTGTAAACACGTAGGTAAAACTGTTCTCCTAAGTATTGTCGTGCCCAGTATTCAGTCCTTACGTTCCACATTCCCACGTTATCAAGCCCGACATATAGTGCTGACCATGACTTTGGGTAAACCTATAACACGCACAAAACAAGCTTTAGATCACTTTGTTCATCCTCATTATAGGGAAGGATTTAAGGAGGCACATCCGCTTTATTTTAAATGTTTGCTCGTTAAAGTTAACAAAAATTGGTTGTAATTTATTAATAGTGGCATTACATGTGGTATTATTAGAGGTTGCAAGTTCAAATTCTTTTGGCTTTTCTTCTAGTTTTCTGTATGTGGGATTTACTGGATTAGTTTGGTTTGGTTTGTTTGGTTTTACAAATGCTTTTCTAGTAGATTGTCGTTTTGCCTACAAAGCTAAAAGCGAAACAAAGAACAAACGTAGTAAAGCTTTTGTTTCGTGGTACCTGGATCGTGCTACGGGCAACTCCATCTCGAAGATTGTAACCGTTCCTGCTAGCTTCAGTCCATTGTCCTCCATCCATTCTGTATTTCATAAATAAAAACCATATTTAGATGAAAAGGCACGTATGACTAATCAAAAAGCTAGACATTTAGAGAAAATTATTAAAAAAAATTAAACACAATAGATGATTGATTATGTGGTTACCCGACAACGAAGAACTGGTATCCGTCGATGTGATAACTGAGTACGATATCGGAAGGGTTTTCAAAGACTATCTCAACAAAAGCTCTGTAATCAGCCCCCATAACTGATGTATCTTGATAGAGGCCACCTCCGGTGGGTCGTTCGGATATACTTCCAACCCGGAAAACTCCTCCGATGTTGAAATAATCAGCAAGCTTGAGGGGAGTGTCAGCTGGCTTGAATGAGACGCTGTTGAGTCCATATCTCTGCTTGCCGTCAACTTGTCCAGAAGAACTTTGGATAATGATGGTTCTGCTAGTGTTTATCATACCGTAGTGATATGAACCCTGTGGGTTTGGCCTAGGTCCACTTGCTGTAAGATTGGTCCTGCACTCCATAATATGTGTCAATACATTGTAGCTAACCGAAAGGGCAAATCAGAAGATTGTTCATTTTATGGTCATGATCTAATTCTTTTAAGACCATCAGACATCAATCGCTCCAATAGAGACACCAAAATGTGGTGGAATGAATACTAATAGCACTATTCATTTACTCCAATTGAACGGATAAAAAGGAACATACCTAAAATTTTAGGTATTGGTTTAAGATTTGATGTTACCTATTGTTGGAATAGATTTATTTTCACCAAATTTTATACCATTTTTTAAAGATTTGGTGTAAGATTTAGTCCTAAACGACTATGGAACATGGAAAACCCATGTCATAAGCCCTAAACGAGTGGGTCGTGCTAACTGTGGAGTGTGGACCAAGCGACATAAGGCCCAACTTTAAACCGAATGGGCAAAAGGTTATTAGTCTTGCCAAATATCAAGAAAATCAGGACGGCCCACATGCGACCCCAATTGCAATAAAAAGGGCAAGGAATGACCCACTTCCTAGCCAGATGGGCCATTGGAATTTGAGCACAGAAAATGGACTTAGACAGGTTTAAACATGTTTTAATCTTTTTTGAAGATATTCCTGAATATGTATTAGATATTGAAAATGATACCAAAAGAAACATGTACAAATCATAGGATGTCCTTCACATGATTCCAATATTGGCATACAATAAATGGGACTCTTCTAGATATTTTTCATAATAGGAATCTAGAGTATAGATCGACAGCATGGATAATAAAAGAAAATTACTATTTCAGGAAACTACATCAAAAAAATATGTTAAGAGCCGTGGAAGTGGAATGATATTTTTATGACCAACACGGATTATATTATATAAAATGAGGAGATGAAAAAAGGACCTGATAGAACGAGCCTGGTTAAGGGACCAATCAACTTGAATGGTGGGTCCACCTGGGATTGGACCGGAGACTTGACCAGCAGAATTGCTGTAGTGAAGGATACCGGTTGTTGTGAGGATTGGTGTGGTGAATCGAGAGGACACAACAATGTAGTAGTCTTGACCTGGTTGGTCAGCTGTGAATAATACAGAATACGATTGCCCGCAATGAACGTCTAAAGAAGAATATGTTTGTTGGACCGTGTGTGTTCCCTCCACCTCTACCAGTTTCATCTTGTGGTTTTGAATGCGGAAGTTGAGGGAGTTTTGCAATCCCACATTTGATATTCTTAACCTGTAAGTTTTTCCTGTTTGTCATGCAAAAAATAAATACGTTAACATAATAAGGACAAAGCCGTGCAAAACCAGGTCCTTCAACCTCTTTATGTGTTGAATCTCAAATCACCTTAGGAGATTGTTTAAGTAAATATGATCTTTCTATCTTTTGAGTTTTTATTTATTTAATTTATGGTCAAGCAAAGTAACATTTTACCTTGTTCAACAGGAAAAGAAGCACCGTTTGGGCCACGTCCATTAATGAGAATTCCTGCAGGAAAAGGTATCCTGTGACCATTATCTAGAACTCTTCTCAAGGTCTGCAACAATCGAAATAAATGTTTATAAATCATCCAAAATTATAAATGTCATGAGGTTATAGGGGTAACCCATTATCGTCATTGAATAATATATTTACATGTAAAAAAATTCCAAAAAATTAGCATGATTTATTACATAGATTATGTCAAGGAAGATTAATAATTAATTTTCAAAAAAGAATAGAAAACTAAAAAATGGACTTCTTTTTTATCAAAAATAATAGTTTATAAATCTTTAACGAAAAGGGATGATTCAAACTTGGGATCTGTAAATGACTTATTAAAGCTTAATGTTTATACCTCTAAGGGGTGGTTTCATTGGTTTTTTATTATAAAGTTGTTGCATGTATTAATCTATTTATATAGATTGAAAATATTTTTGTTTGTAAGAGGTTCTTCATAAATGAAATAAGCATGTTTTTTGAATTGAGTAGCAGGTTTGAAAAACTTGACTCTCTACATAAATCTTTCTTTTACAAGCTTATTAAATAAGTCAGTTTTTATATTATTAAATCAATATCAAACTATTATGTATAACTAAACAAATAAGCTGTGAATATCATTAAACTCATAATTAAATATTATATTCTATTTCTATTTTTTCACATCTTACAGGGTTTAATTTCAATCTTAGAAACAGTTATCATACATTTACGATGTCAAATACGTTTCTGGACATTTATGAAAAACATAAAAGCAAGTAATTTATACGAAATCTCGTGTCGGTTAAATCATAAACCAACCTACAAATGTAAAGGTAGAAAAATGACAAATGTGTCAATTGTGTGAGTGGAGTAAGCAAGCAGCTAAGATTGCACATGGATCATATTCCAGAGTACATGCTACAAAGGGTTCCACTAGTTAGAACATTCTAGTGGCAATTGCGTAGGCCCAAATCTATGTTATTATCGACAATAAAACAACCCATGTGAATTAACACAATAGGTAGCTAGGGGTCCAACACTTTATTGTTTCTTTAAAAAAAACGTGAGTAGAACCAATCAATAACAGTTTTTTAATATATTAATATACATAAATATATATTTCTTATCTATCCAAAATAAGAGTCGATCTTAATTTAATAGGAGATGGTAACCTTTTTGTCTTCAGGTTTAAAAAATCATTAAATCATACATTGCTAGAGATTTTATATCATTTAATATCTTATTTTAAGATTGCAAAGAAATTACTCTTAGTTATGTATATTTAATGAGGTGAAATCACCTCCAAATAAACAGAATATAAATGAATAAAAAGGCATTGTGGTTATATCGGAAACAGATTATTTTTGCTATAAAATTTGGCTTGTATATTTAGTGTAATGATTTTCAAATGTTGCTGTGAACCAACTGTCCCTGAGTTTTGTTGGGGCTCTACATTTTGATGATCTACTTGAGACAGTGGGACCTCAAATTTGTCCTCTAGTCGTGGACAAGATTGCTATAAAGTAAAGGTCGTCCAGCTGTAGTAGGCCCAGTGACATTAAAACCAAAATTGGAACACTGGTTACCGACGATTGGCTTTAATTCGTAATATAAATTATAAAGTAAAATATTAAAATCTTCAAAATTGTACGGTCATTTTCAATAGATTTATTTTAAAAAATCCAATTAATTGTAATATTAAAATATTATATTCGTTCATTTAGAATATTTCGTTCATTTAGAATATTATTTTTCTCTCTAAATGTTTATTTTTAAAATTTCGTATTAGTGGTCTCACTTAATAACCATTTTTGGATGTTAAAAAGCTATCTTTCCTAGTTTCTTCATTTTGGAGATACTTAAAGTTGTTGAAATAAAATATTAGGCTTAAAATCCTTATTTTCTTGATTTTAGAGGTGTTAAGAGATGTTTTTAGCTTGATGTTATTTATACAAACCTTTAAGTTCTTTTAAAAACACAGCAATATAAGACCCCACAATCAGACTTTTATTAGCATAAAGACTCTAAGAGTATGTTTCTTTAAATTTTATTTACTAAACAAAAGATAATGTTGGTTTTACAAAAGCTTGAAAAACAATGATTATACTAATTATAATCCAGACTTTTTTTTTGAAAAAACCAACATATTATTAAAATAAAAGACGGAATAATACAAGAAATTAACCTTGAGAAATACTACGAAATGCAGTAAGCAAGTAAGAACATTTGAAAGGCAGCATATTGTAATCCACACATTTGTTATATTACTGTTACTCTTACTAACGTTTTAAACAATAAAAATTCATGTCAAATGTAACAGATACAAGACATTTATGGTTATCAAAAAACATGTATAGTGTTCGACAAAGCATATAATTACAAAATAAAGTTTGACTATTATGGAGGCTATAGATATCATAAACAGTAAAAAATGATCGATTTAATCACTTTAATTTTTTACTAGAAGTATTATCTACACCTTTACGTATATCCTCTCTTAACACTACTTTTGGCCAAGGAAGTGAAAATTACCCTTCCCACAATTAATAATGTGTTTCGCAGCCTACAGAAGTTGACTAAAGGACCAAACCTCAGTTAATGCAATAACTTTGAAAACGATACACTTCAAATCGTTCGGCGGGGAGGAGGCTAAGGTTTGACTTTTAATAAGGTAAAAGACTTTTCAAATGTAGCAACCTTGTTATAAAGGAAATGTTAATAAAAATGAGCAAGCGTAGCATAACATTACTTACCGTGTGGTTAGCTTTGTACCAATCTCCAATGAGGACAGTATAATCCCCAGCAGGTTCATCAAATGGGACGGGAATTCTGGGACGGCTTAAGATTCTGATACCGCCAAAACCACCTGCAGCTTTGTGGAATGCCAAAGAAGGAAAGTAGTAAAAGCTTCCAATCTGATCCTTCACTTGGAGGATGTATGTGAAGTTTTTACCCGGAGGAATCGGACATGTTGTGCCATAAACCCCATCTTCATAAGAATTCCTTCTTTGTTGAATTCCATTCCTACAAGTCATCAGGTTTAAAATCAACCCTTTAATCGATCGAAAACAAAACCATATTTGCAAATTGCAATCAACAAACATTTCTTACATATTAACAAAACAATCATATTTGATAAAAGATTAGAGAATAATAATTTCGAAGCCTTTGTTATTATTTTTTTTTTTTTTAAACCTTAAATGTGAAATAAAATATGAAAAGAAAGGAACAAACCAAAATAATTTACGGCAGTAAACTAATTACTAAACAAGGGAAAAACAAAACAAAAAAAGAGAAACATATCTAAAGAAAATTTTATTTGTAGCTCCTTTTACCGAAGGGAGGAGGTGAAAGGTCACGAAACACGAGTCTATGTTTCACGTGCATTTGAGAACCGACGTTAAAAGACAAACACAGGAGCACCGCCTCTGACCTGCTTCAAGTACTATTTCTCATTTATGTTTTTTAATTCCATCTCCAAAGACACGTTCTCTAAAATAAAAAAAGTTAAAGGTTTTTGTTTTGATAGATTATTTAAAATAGAGAAAGTAGAAGAATAAAAACGAAATTCTTTAATAAGAATATTTGAAATTACACGTACAGGTGAAAAAAATATATTTTGTAAGAAATATTGAATATTTTAATAATATAATTTATATTGTAAATTTGTGATCTTCAAAATAAAAATAAAAAACTATTAAAGATAAATATAATTTTGTTTTGAGATTTTTGGAGATGATCTATGTAACTATACCACTAACCTTATTCTCATTGTATCAGGCAAATACAATTTTGTGACCTTGTTTCCCTCCAAAAGTATATGGGTTTAAGTTGGAGATTAAAAAATTTAAAAAAATGTATGTTACTAACTCAATTATACAACAAAATTTAACAACTTGAACACAAAACTTTATGTCTAAAAGCATATAAATTCGCAAGAAATAGTTTTAGAACATCATCTCATTAGAACACAAAGTACCATCAAATCTTAGTGTCCTTACAAAATATATCAAGATAAGAAGGGATTGACTAAAAATTAAACCATAAAATGTTGTCCATCACAAGCCAATGGCAAGAGATTGGAACAAATCCATTAAAAATGGTAGGTCTATTTGAGCTTTAATGTTTGATCTAAATTGAAACTACTATTTCAGCAACTTCTTTAACCACTACAAAAGTTCACCAACTACTTCTATTATCTCATAAGACATTAAAACCAAACTTACATTTAAAATATCATTAAATGGTTTATGAAAAACTTAACATTGGCCATTGATTCAAAATTTGAATACCGACTTATCATTTAGCTATAACTTGAAATAAACAAATAGTGTCAAATATGAATGTATTAGATTTAACAAATCAAGCTGTTAATCAATTTAGCTAAACTAAAAATAATAATAACGACTGTAACAATAATAATATATCGAATCTCTTAAATATCCTGCACAGTTGTAAATGGACATGTGGTAGATGAACCAAGCAAAGAGTTATTATTATTGAATGGTATGTTATGGCACTAAGTAGCATTCTGGTGTGACATTAACTATAATGGATGAGAAAGGAAAAAGAAAAAACCGATGATGCGACTATCTTTGGAAACAGCGAATGGAAGGCTCCACCAGTTCCTTGTAAATTGCGATTCTTGGTATTAAGCATTACTCAAACAGAACTTGCTAAATAGGCAAAGATCGGACTTTATTTAGTCTATGATTATTTGATCAAGGTACATTCTTAAGTATATCAACTTATAGTCCACAAAAGGCTATGTATGTTTCTATTTTTATCTGTCGACTAAATCATTTTCAAGTTACGAGGAAGTATGATGACAAAGTAGTTAAAATTTATTCATATTGAATTTAGTTTGAACACATGATATTTGCGTTGTTTTCTGCTGGACTCGGATTTGTATGAGGGTGAGCAATCGAGCTCGCGGAAATTTTGGAGTTTCTTTTGGTAATATGAACTCCAATTCTGATTCACACATTTGAAATCTAAATCGTTACTGATTGCTTCACTCAAAAGGAAAATGTTATACTGATTTCATCCAATAATCTGTTTTCTTCGTACTTGGTTCAAAACTGTACTATATGTAACTTCAAAGTTCAAACTGAGGAATGGTATACTGGTAAAAAAAACAATTAAAATTAAGAAAGCAAGTGATTACCAGGAGATAAGAAAAGGCTCGGTTAAGCTGTTGAAGACATTGATAATGAGATTGTCATTTGTAACAGAATGAATATCAGGTCCAGGAAACTGCCCATTAATCAAAATCCCCTGCACTCACACACACACAGTTCAAAAATATTAACAACCACATATTTCATGTTCAGATCTGACAACATCATCAAATCAAACACATCTAACACAAGATCCGTCTGCTAAACTAGTGATCAATGTTATAAAACACGAAAATATAAGTAAATGAGAATGAAATGAACCTGTTGACGGACGCCGAGAGGATAGATATCGCCGTACGTGACATTCCAGTTGAAGAACCTGTACGGATCTTCGGCGCCGGCAATGGCGACGAGAAATGCTCCGACGGCAATGCAAACCGCGAAATTTCGCGGCATTATATTCCGGTGGATGGAGGTAGAGAAGGAATTAGTAAAGTATGAGATGGAGGGAGAAAAGCGCAGAGGAATGGAGAAAAATTTAAAGTGCGGTCCAGAGCGAGACTTACCGACTGATGTGAAGGGTTTTTGAGAGGGAAAATATAAATTAAAATAATGCTTTTTATTTTTATTTAATTCCAAATGTATGTGGTCGTTGTTTATTTTCTCTTTTCGGTGGGATTTGTTTTTTTTCTCAATATTTTTCGAATAATTTAAATAAATCATAATTATTAATTAATAAATATAATCTTCATTATTATTATTATTATTTTATATCTTGTTATTTTAAATCAACCGAGTAATTTATTAATTCCATTAATTTTATCCTATGAGAAAGATGGTAAGAAATAAGGGGTTGTTTGTTTATTTCTTAATAGTTTTATTAAGAGGTAACATCTGAATCGTTAATAGATGAATCTTTTTTGGCAAAAAAAAATCTGTCTCTTAATGGTTCTAAAACCCTTTGAATGATTTTGTATCCTAGACCTCCCTTAACCATTAAGAGCCCTGATTTCATTATACACAATTACCAAACAATTATATTTCATTTTGCACTATATCATGAGAGTCTCTTAATCATTCTGACCACTTAATTATTCTGCATCAAACCATTCAGTAATTGTCAAACAGCCCCTAAGATGGTTTTGTCTAAATATAAGACAGGTCTTAGGTGTCGTTTACCAAACTCTTACCTGAGTAAGTGCTTATCGGCAAAATTCAATACTATCACTTACTTATGGGGTAAGATTTTAGTCTACCAAAATGGTATTGTATGTAATAATTCACCCGGTAAGCGCTAACCTTGGTAAAAGTCGTCGTTACTTACCGGATAAAACTCTAGGTCATTTTCTTGGTCCTTGCCATATTCATCAATAAGGGAATGTTACTTGATAATTACTTACTGGATAAGTGTTTGGTAAACGACCTCTTAGTTTCGATCTCAAGTTCTCAACCCCCTCTTAAGCCCTCGAGTAGTCTTAGCCGCTAATTGAATCAAAAAAATGTCCTTTTCACATTGGTGTTCTTAAAGACGGGTTTCGTGTGAGGCTAGTTAGGGTTTCCGGTTACCAACTTTTTACCAAATTTAATTAAATTTCACATAAAAATGGGTGATTTTGAACGATACATATAAAGATTTGTTTCTGATATTTTATGGATCCAAGACGTATTTAAGAAATAAGGTTTTTAATAATTACCAAAAAGGTATTCAATAAATGGTTTTTCATCAAAATTCATATCAAACGATTTCTTTTAAGACCCTATTTTTTTAGACCGTGGACAAATGCTAGTACTTCTCTCCGCTTCCCAAAATAGCCCTGGATCCACACGAAATTAATACATCTGTTTCTAGATCTTGGGCCACAATCAATCGTGTTCCTTTGTTAACGTGCGTGTCGGAGTCTTGTTCTTCTTTGGATTTGAGGTAGGCTTATCTGCTCCTTGAGATGGTGTTGCAAAGACAGCTTCTTTCGATACTGCTTGTTTCTTGGTTTCGGGTTTTATTCTTATTTAAACCATTTATTTCTCTGGCTTTTGCGAGCTTATGTTTCTCGAAAAACTTTTGTCCTTCAACATTTTTATTCACGTTGTTCTTTCATTATATTCGTTATTGTCGTTTTTAAAAGAATTATGAAATATGAAAATATTAAACCAACATGACATATTACGTTATCATATCTTTTCTTGAAAAGAAAAAGATATCCAAACTAAATTAAATGCATTGTGAATGGGTAAATTAAATGCATACCAATTGACTTAAAAGCGGAAATTATAATCACAACAGTGGTATTTGATTGGTTTGAGTTTGGGCTCCAAATGTCAAAGTGTCTGGAGGTTATAGGTTCAAATCCAAGAAGGAATAAAAATCCTCTTGTGGCCACGGAGGTTCAAATACGGTAACTCCAGGCTACCCACAAAGCAGGTGGTTGTTCTGGGATTAGTCAGCTCGCATAACGGGTTGGATATCCGGGTTAATAAAAAAAGTAAACTATGGGTGTTTGGAAATCATTTATTATAAATCAAAATTATAATAATATAATTTTTAACAAATTAAGTAAGGTCAAAACATATTTAGGTTAATTTTTTACAATTAATTTTAGTAATTAGCTTTATTATAGCAATTCTCAATTTGGACAATATTTGCTTAATTTTAATGGTGTTTTATGACCACGATTTTGTACACAAAACTGCCTTTTATGAAGACGTGTTTTCCAAAATGTGTCGATTTTTTTTTAAATTAACCTGAATATCTAACTCGTTATGCGAGCCGACTAATCTCACGGCGACCACCTGCTTTGCAGATAGTCTGGAGTCATCGTATTTGAACCTCCGTAGCCACAAGGGGATTTTTATTCCTCTTTGGATTTGAACCTGAGACCCCCTGATACTTTTGACCTTTTTGACCTTTGGAGCCAAGCTCAAACCAATCAATCAACACTATTGTGGTTATGTCGATTTTATATGTCAAGCCAGAAGAAAATTTAATCAAGATTTTAAGTAGTTAGTTGAATAACTTTATGAGAAAATCCCGAAAACCTAAGTTTATATTTTGTTGTTGAAGGTCTTGGTTTAAAATACCAGTCGAATTTCAGTGAAGTAAAGAAACACAAAAAAAAATTTGAACTTTCTGGTTTGGAAAACATGATGGCCATCAGGTTACAACCAATCAAACATAATCATACTGTTCAAGACCATAGCGAGGAGTGACGGTACAAGATCACATTATAAAGAACATCTCATTGTGGTGGGATCAGAGTAACCTTATGATGCCAACCTGTAGGACTGCACCTACAGTAACGTTCAAAGAGGAAGTCCAGACCAATTAATTTGAACTTGTTATTAATTTCAAATATGTTTTGAGCGGATAAAGTTCATGCCAAAAGTAGTCAATAGTTAATAGTTATTATTGATATAAAAGTACAAAGTTCAAAAAAGTAATAATGTGTTATTATTAATATAGGAAGAAAACATATGCAAATAAACTATATTCAATAGTAGAAATTGAATTACAGTATGTTATTATTGTTACATTCACTGTATTTTTTTCTTATAGTCAAATGGTGCCACCATTTGAAAAAATTCTTAGGTCCGTCCTTGGGCATAAAGCCATGTTTCTGTAAGAAATGAGCATAATGTTTCGATGAATCTTTGGAATCAAATTGGGATGTTTCGTGAATAAAAGATAACTACAAAGATACATCTTTATACTAAAGATTAGTTAGAGCAATGTGATGTTTAATTGTTACCATACCATACCATACATATCATACATCATCGTTTTCTAGGGTAAGTTCCTCGAACAACAAATTCAGATCTTCTTGCAGGATCGGTTTTAAATGAGAGATGGTTAATAGTAAGAATTAATCAACTAAACACAATTGCTAACCTCTGTTCTGTGTTGACCTAGGGGCTTGCTTGCAAATGGCTTCAAACACTCGTTTAACCACCAAAAGGCCTTTGGCCTAGCGGTATGTGAGTTTTTGGCCTCCTAGCATGTCAAGGGTTCAAACCTCACCAAAGACGAGGATGGTGTGTGAGTTTATTTGTTCTATTTTCCGTATATAAATATTATGTACTTAAAAAAAACACTCGTTTAACCCTTACGGAATAGGATGTGCCACTCAATTGATTGTTTCAAGATAGGAGGAAGAAAAAATATCACTTGAATGAAGAAGGGAGCAGAGGAAGTTAACTAGCAATTTTCCCTGCATGAAGTCATACTAGCTAGCAAGTTGTCTATCCCTTAAGGAACTTATTTAGTAGGGAATGGTGACCGCGCCCACGTTGGGTTTTGTTGAAAATAGCCTATTTGCCTATCGAGTCTTGAGGTGGATAAAAACTCTGCATATATTTGCTTCTCACCGCAACTTTCTGGTGTATGTAAGGTTTGATTTAACCAGCGTCCTAAGATACCTGTGAGGATCCATTCGTCAAAGCTTTGTCTTCCCTACTACAAATGAACTTACAATTCACGCATGTTTGAATAATAATTGAGGTGCATACCAATTTAAAAGATTTAGTCTTGGTGATTGCACAAGAGTCTAGCAAGAGGCAGTCTCTGAATCGTTAAGAGGTGAATATTGTTTGACAAATATATATATATATATATATATATATATCTTAATGGTTCTAAAACCCTCTGAATGATTTTGTATCATAGGTCTCCTTTAACCATTCAGCGTCTTAATTCAATTGTAAACAATTACTGAACAATTACATTTCATTTTGCACTATATCATGAGAGCCTCTTAATCATTCCAACCACTTAATCATTCTACACCAAACCATTCAACAACCATCAAACAACCCATGAGTTGAATATCTAGCAATGTAAACACAACACACAAGCATGTTCTTGAACATCCTTCATTCAAAGTCATCACACATATAACATCGCCAATAACTTAACCACTCACGATAATTTCTTCCAAACCGTGTTATTCACTCTCTACAGCAACCACATTGAACAAAAACACCATTTCCATTAGAGAACGTTTTTCTCGTCTCAAACATATATAACAACTGATCACGTCGTTTAAAGATCAGATCCCACAAACTACGAATCCCGTCATCTAAATCTCACATCTTCTTTAGATTTTTCAAAACCCGTCGAACGTCATTCAGATTATTTACCGATATCAGATCATCATCAGATATACTTTTCACAAGGACGCAATTTATAAATTTCTAAAAAAATGAAAAAAAAATGGTAATAATTGAGAGAGGTGTCGGTGGGTGGGGGCTAATTGATTTGGGTCCAAACCCCACATGGTGATGGTGGGTGTTATTTGACCTTGATTGTGTGTTGTATTGTGCTGGTTGCCTTTGCAATTTAAGGCCATTGGCATGTGCTCACTATTATTCCCCCCCACTTTTTTATTATTTATTTATTTATTTATTTTTAAAGATATAAAATTATTATTTATTTATTTATTTATTTTAAAAAATAAATAAATAAATACATATTCTTTTTAAACCTGTGCCGTACCATATGCAACAAATATTCATCTAGTTTTGGATTGTGTTCTTCCCCATGAACATGCCACCGACCTCATCAAGATTTGGTTTCATCTATTTACATAAAACCAAATAGATAAATAATTAATCGAGTAAACGCTTATCGGTAAAATTTAACACTATTACTTACTTACCGGGTTAGTCTAAAATGTTAGAAACACCCCCTTCGAGTACTCATCATACCCGATGAGATCTGCCCCAGTGTCTCCCAATGACACAAAGATCGAATATGATACTATTTGTAACACCACATAAAACAGACTGACCCAATAACTTCAAATTCAACTTTAAAACATGGTCGAATGACTTTAATCTTATAAGAAGATCACATATCTTATTTTCTACAAGGTTGTTACAAATATGTAAGAACATAATCCATTATTAAAAATAAATCCATTTTTTTTAATATGTAACATTTTTTTTTGAATTTTTAAATACTAATAAAAGTTTATTATCAAGAATTATATAATACTTTAAATTGAAAATTGGAGAAAAAGGAAAGGAACAAATAAAAGCACATGACTGGTTTCAAAAACCATTTTCAATTATTTGGACACCTATCACCTTTTTCCACAATTTAAAAATATTCATGGATCTCAACAAATTTTTTGTTTATATTGGATACTCATTTCAAAATCATACTCTAAAAATAAATGAGAAAAGGTAAATTGTATGAAAAAATACTTTTAAAATTTTTATTTTGGTATATAAGATTTAAAGTTTTAAACATTTAAGTATTCGAGTAACCGGTTGAAGTATTAACCAGTTATCATGCTTATGTGGTGAGTAATGTGGTATCCAACTCAGTATTATTTGTTGACGTGGTTAGTGACATGAATGTTTTTTAATCTAAAAGTAGTATTTTCTAATCTAAAATTAGTCTTCAACCGGTTACTCGGGTACTTAGATGTTTAAAACTTTACATCTTATATACCCAAATTGAAGTTTTGAAAATACGTTACCTAAAATAGGAATCAAGTTAAAGTACGTTACTTTTTAATGCAATTTGCCCTTTTTCAAAATAAAATGAAATATATATATATATATATATATATATATATATATATATACTAGTTGTGTACCCGCGCAATGCGGCGGGAGCCATGAATTTTAACAATTTTGAAGTTCCACTGGTTTTATAAGATAAGATTTAATGATGATATATGTTACACTTGGTCTTTACATATTAATACAATTTGAATAAATAAGGGTTATGGTTCCAATTACAGACTATCGATGAAAAAAATTGTATGACAGTTTAAAATCCAATATATTTAAAATCCAACATATTTAAACGACTCCACAAATGTATTCGATTTACACCAAGAGCAAAAAACCAAGAAACTTGAGTTTTAAGATAAACACTCAAAACCAATAAAGAAAACTATAAATTTGACATATCATAAGCCATGAAAAGACAAAAAAAGATGAGTTTTAGAATGAAATTTCAACTGCTTACCCTCTTTCTTGTCCAGAAACTCAGATTAAGGTTGAATTAATACATGT